CATTCTTATTTTTTGTTCCCCCTCAAACGTCGGAGACAAGAACCCCTCCCCCCCCCCCAACCTCTCTTATTTTTCTCTCTAAACGTGTGCAACATCACACCTCTCGATTTACATCCTCGTTGAGCCTCCACAACACATCCTTTCTCTTGTCATCCCTTTCGTCATCATCGTCAGCTTTATTATGGGTTCTTCAATCTCTAGTCTCTACAAACAACACCAAATTGGTGAGCTACGTTCAAATCAACAAGAAGGAACGAGTCCTGACATGTCCAAGATGTCTCACAGCGTGTCCGAGACGTGTCAGAAATTCAAAAAAATTCAAAAAAAAATCGGACACTTTTTCACGTATCCGACATGTGTCCATGTGAGGGGAAAAAATGTGTTGGTGCTTCCCAGATCCAAAATTCTACTTGAGAATCTTCTCAAAAATACAATTTGGTATGCCTTGCATGCTGTTAATTTTTGTAAGGTCTTCCTTTCCATTTAGCATGGAATCAATCGCAACACAATGGGGGAGGAGCGGGAATGAGTCGGACAGAGATGATGGGGAGCATGGTTTCAAAACTCAGTCATTACGTAACGGTAATGACGCCCTCCGATCCCGTTACAACCTATTATATCGAAAAGAAAAAATTTCACATCCGTAACAGCTCATTACGTGACGGAACGACATTTTCTCCACTGCTACTTTGCATTTCAGTCGGGAATTCTCCCATTTTCTATCATTTCAGTCCTCAAAATTCTAGATCTGTTTTTTGTAGCTTCAAATCTTCAGTCTCCAACCATAAATCTTGAAGTTTCAACCACACTGCATCACAACAGTTTGAAGGTTTGAGGGTAGATCTATACCTTTCAAAGATTCCCATTGCATTCCTATATCCATCTTCAATTTCTATTCTTGAGTTTGAGCACTCTAGCATCTCACCTTTACTGTGGGCAGACTGGCAACAAGGGTTTCCATCTATGCTCTATTTTTATTTTTATTTTTCTTTTTGATTTCATGATGTCCTATTTTTGCCTTTTTGGTCTCCAATTTGTTTCTATTTGCTTGACTTACTAAACAGCTTTTATGTGCACACGTGTTCTTTAACCAAGGAGATCCACTTATTGCCCCATTTTTTCAATATTATAAATTTCTCCCATAACTTTTCATGTTATATTACATCGCCTAAATACCCATAACTTTTCGTAATTAAACACTGCCAAAACCTTAACAAAAAGATCATGATTTCTTTTTTTGTGTTAGATCTTTTTTTTTATTTATGATTTATAGATTCTTCATTGCTTCTTCGTAAAATGTGGAATCGTGTTTGAATTTAACTTCTTATTTGACCAAACTAGGCCTTATTTTGAAGTCAAAATGTGTACATATTCATTTTTAGGGGAGTTGTGAATCCAAAGAAAGTATTCACGCATCCAGTTCCGATACTATTTTATAACGCCCATTACGTCCCATATCCGTTACACCGTTTCCATTACCGTTAAGGTGACCGTCAGCATTATTCAGAAGTATGGTGGGGAGAGAGACAATAGAATGAAATTTACATACACAACGTATTTTGGTCATTTCTAATTTGAAGAAAAATAATTCTCTCCAACAACCCAACACTTTCAGTTGTGTGGGGTTCACACTCCATTAATTAAGCTAAAAGTTCTTACAGTTTCAGTCCGATACAAAAACAATATGGATTAGGTAGAGGTTTCCAAAACATAGGGCAGTAATGTGTTATTGAGGCAAACCATATTGATGAAATCCATAATTTACCCTAAATTTAAAGAGCAGCCATTATGTTCAGGGAAACGCTACAAATAATTTTATCAGTTATTTGATAAAGTTTGAAGCCACATCAATGTGATACCAAGAAAATGAGACGTATGCTTACCGGTACAAAGACAAGGGATTCAATTACATGCACGAATATCAATTGGAATGTTGGAAGCTGATGCCGAGCATGGTGTTGAAGCTGCACTGCAATTATTTGAGGGAAAAAAATGTTGGAGGAGATTAAGGGGTAAGCATGGCATAGAGTGGCTTCGCAAAGATCACCCATCAAACCAGAATAACCAGCAAGTTGAGAACCTTCTAAATGTATCGTAGACAATTATCCACAAAATTCAACTTCTTGAACAGCCCTTTCAAATCTGTCTAATCAAAGCCTATTGTGACGTGTAATTGATGCATCTACTAATTGGAATTGTGGTTATAGCATAGGTACATTACTAATCGATGAATGCATTAACTGGTGATCTAGCACCAAATTAAACCTGTAATTTTACAGTCTTCTAAATCAACAAGAGATAGAATAAAACAAACCTGTAAATTTCAGCATGCGAGTTTGTGTCTCTCTCAATGTAAATGAAACTGACATTGTGGTTGTGAAGAAAACGAACAGCGACATCATAAGTACACCGCACTTGGTCACAAGATAGTCTGCAAGAAATAATGCAATGCATAACTGTGAAATTTGAAGCCAGAAAATTCTAATACCAGAAAATAACCAAAAGAAAGAAACTGCAATGCATAATTACCACACAAATCACATTGTTCTCTATGCATACGATAGTAGCCAACAAAACACCGTCTGATCACCAGCACACAGCTATAGGCAACATATTATGCATAAATGACAAAAAGAGAGGCAGTTCGGTGATATAAAAGCACAGTAAAGAGACACTTGACAATTTTCTTAATTTCAGCTTACGGTAACATGAAGTTGTAAAGACTTGTGGAGAGCCCACATTTGGAAGTGACTTCAAGATCTAAGTACTAATTCACAGGCAGGATGTTCCAAAAGTAACCTTGTCATCTAAATTCAAGTAACCATTCAAAAAAAAAAAGTCATCTTTTTTATTTCTGAAGTATCCCCCAAATGAGTCTACCAGTCATCTTTTCTGTATGCTGCTTAAATGGCACAGAGGCATATTTTCCAATTTGCATATTGTTTCATAAGCGATTATTTGAGGTACCATGTATCCTCTAATACCATTGAAGACTCAAATAGAACATAAAATTGAAATTCACATACACGGAAAAACAAATATATTTATAATCATCAATAGATGCATAGTAAGCATAAAAAATATAGTCTCAAATACAATTCTTGAACACAGGTTCAAGTAAGTCCAATATGTTTTTAGAGCCCTTGGAAATCTGATGATCTTCCTTTCGCTCACCATTTGACACCTCTCTCTCTCTCTCTCTCTCTCTCTCACACACACACACACAAAAGCTCACTTAAGTCAAATTTCTTTTTTACACACCGCAGAAATAAGAGAACCTCCCTTCCTCTCACAATCTACACAGTCCCGCTCTCTCTCTCTCTCTCTCCCTCTAATTGCCTCTTTCTGTCATTCTCTTTCTCTCTCCAAATTCTTTTTCCAAAACACACTGTTGAAAAGGACTGCAATGCAAGCATTAATAAGGATTGATATTTTTAACTGATTATCTAAATGCGAATCGAATCCTTTGTTATGCTTCACCAATTTGGATTTAAATATACCACTATCAAGTCGATTATGATCCGAATTATGCATATATTAATATGTAAGTGTATGAAGTAATTAATTAATCATTTGATACAATTTAGTTAAAGATTAGGCATAATGTGTTAAAATACAATTCAATGTTTGCTAATCAAATCGAATTTTCGGAATGGAATTTTTATTTTTATCAATTTCTAGATATGGGTAGTCAAGGATCAAAATTTGGTTTCAATGCATAGCTTCGGTTAGCTAAGAAAAGGCAACATTTCAAATACATTAGTGAAATGGAATGAAAAAATCTACAAATTTGTTTTTGAAATATTCTAAAACATTAGTTCGAAATCGAAACACCTCAAAATATAAGAAATTTGGCATTCAATCACTAATTTGTTTCTGTATTCGTAGAAATCGAGATGTTTGGGTCATTCACTAGAAATGAAATGAAATGAAATTTTGATCCTAATTGATAATGAAAACGAGATTCATCAAATAGATTACGTCGGAAAAGCATAGTCCCAAGTATACATAGTATTGATAGCACCTCATCTAAAAAAAATTTGCCTTAAGCCTCAGTATGCTTCGGGTCGCCCCTGCATTATTGTGCCATATAACCAATTATGGACAACACTCAAGAAATAAAAATTTGGTACAGAATCTACATCTATTGCACATCTACTTCAATATGATCTTAGGTTACATTAGATTAAGAACTATATAAGTAAGAGTTTAAATTGGATGAATTTTCAGTCACAAAAAAATTAGTCAACCAAATTCCAAATCAAACACAAACTCATTATTTTAATACTTAAACAGCAGATATTTACCATACATCTAAGAAGTAAGGCTCAAGATGGTTTGGGGTCAGCCAGCTAGATTAATTTCAACCAATCAATGGCCAACAATCAATGGTTCTCAGCACCCTAGTTTTCAACCCCAATGAATTAATTTCAACCAATCAATGGTCAACAATCAAGATAATACAAGGGAAAATCATTGGGGGTTACTATTGTCAACTTTTCTACTTCTAATATAGAAGTAATGCATGAACAAACTACTTCTGACTTCCTAAAATTCTTCAACTCAAAACAATTATCAACAACATTAAATATGAGTGACACTAGCAAATAGCATGTCTAGCATTACACCATTTCATATGCTTCATATTGCATGAAAAGTGGCATAAGTTATAAACCTCCAAATCTTGCAGAACCTGCGGGTTGCTCATGCGCATAAGTTAGATTGTAAAACTCCTTTGTTTGATAATTAAAAAGATAACCTACATAAAAATTGCAAAGAGAAATGGTCAGACAGTTGAGAGCTGTGAACTAACATCAGCTGACTTTGCAATACATTGCTTCCACCTATTTGTAATAAAAGTTGCACAATCTTGAAATTCAAACAAATTAAATCATTCCAAGTCCAAACTAAAAATTAAAACACTTATTCAATAGTTGATGCTCTGTGATAGATGTTAGAGCCCATCCCGTATTGAGTCTGATGCTTTCAATGGTATCAAAACAAGGTTTTTTGGAAAGCCCATGGGTAAAGTCTCAATCGTTTGTTTCCTCTTTCAATTTAGAAGCTACTTAGCATGTTATTTTTATCTTAATTGTTATGAATGGTACTTTTGTCTTTTGGATATTTGAAGTATCTATACTACTTATAAAATTAGTAAATGTGAAAAAATTTTGATTTTCTATTTTGTCCCTAAATGTTATTATAAAGTCAATTACACCCACATATTTAATTTTACCTAATTTTTTATTTTCTATACCTATTTGACTTACAAGTTCTTTTAGACTCATTTATTATTAGCATTTGACTTCTAAATTCTTTTGAACTCATTTATTAGTAATACACTTACATAAAATTTTCTATACTCATGTTTATATTTATATGGAGAAGTATAGTCCAATTTATATTCTATATTATATACGTGTAGCTAACAAATTGGATTTTACAATCAAACACGTCATATTTGATTTTTTTGTATGCTACAATATC